GCAGTAAATAAATGTGCAGTCTTTTCAGATCCTGAAAGATTAAATCCTTTTAAAGCATTTAGTTAAACAATCAAAACTGCTCTTTGGGGGGCAATGAAGGGATAGAGGTAAGGGAAGCCTTTGTTAGAAGAATTCAATAAAGGAATGCACACTTCACCATATGGAAAAAAAACCCTGCAAGTTCACGGCCTTTGCAAGAATCTACAGACAAGTGATAATACTGCACACATATGGCATATGAAGTGGTACTTGATGGAGCAGGGGTGAACAATTTGTGGCCCTTCAGACATTTCAGCTTACAGCTCCTAACTTCCTTCACTGGATAAGGATACTGGGAGTCACAAGCTAACCATCTGTCCATTCCTGGTGTGATAGAAGACTAGGAAAGAGCTTTTAACTTAGTTATATGGAAAAATAAGGAGACACAAAGCCATTGTCTTCTGAATCCAACCACAGAGCCTCTGAAATAGTTAGGATCTCAGCAAAATAAAAGGGACAGCCTCCTAAGAGAAGCCGTATCTTCCATTTTATCCCCATTTCATTCTATCACAAAAAACTTGCATACATATTAACAAACAATAATTACAAAAATGAACTATAAAGCACATACTGGAATTTTGGCAGGGGCAGAATAGATTATATAAGGAGCTCATAGACTTCCAAAGGGTTGGTTTAAAAAAAAAGCAGACAGTGAGGGAGAGTTGCATACTTTATGTGTTGCACTGTCCACTTGCACAATGGAGAACTATATCTTGCTTGCATTTCTGACTCTAAAAAGCAGGAAATCTTAAAAGGCAGCCATTAATCTCATCCGTAAGTTTATGTAAGAAAGATTCCTGCATGAACATAAGTGAAAAAGAGAAAAGCACCAGAAGTCTCTGCTCCAAAAGAACTTCATGAACAAGGCTGACATTTAGGCCAGCACAATTATGACTTTACATACCAAGTCTTGAATGTGTTAAATTTAGTCTATGTTTACTAAGTTCTTTTCCTTTCCAAATAACATCATTTAGGGCAAATCCTTAAGTGACATATTTGACTCAAGGGAATAATATCCATGGAGGAAAAAGTATGTACAATGTCAGGTACAAAGTGCAGCACAAGTTCATTTTGCTACATGCAAGTTAATGGTCTGAACTCCAAAACAGGCATTACTTTAGAGCTTAGCAGTGACTACTTCTTTTCTCATTTTAACACTAGGGAAGATGCAGGCTGCCTGATCAGAATCTTAATGATACCAATACCTCAACCCCACCTCTACCCTTTCCATGCTGGGGACTTCATTGGGATCCCCATACCAACTCTAGCATAAGAATGAAGAGAGACACAGCTGGTAGATATGGATTTAAAGCACTGTCAGTTTGGCCCTGTTTGAGGCATAGTCTAAATGCAGTGACCTTGCTGAAGCAAATCAGATCTGGCCCTAGTCACTGCCTCTTTAAGAAAACAACTGTGAACCATACACACACCACTTTGAGCTTGATCAAGAATAAAAGGAATAAGCACATTTAATTATACAAGTGTGTCTGTCTCAAGAGCTATCATACATGTATTGACTTTTAGTTGTGATTCAACCTTTTGGACTAGTTGGTGGCATACAAATATAATAATAAGTAACAAATAATGCTAGCTACAGTAAACTGTTCAGTGTGCATGGAGAAAAAGCGCAACCACTCTTTCAGAAAGGGGCTAAGATCAGCTTTCTGATCAGCTTAGAATTGTTGTGAACCACCCAAAAGGCTTTGGCTATTCGGAAGTATAAAAATGTAATACATAAAATGCAATACAAGAAAATGAGACAGCATCCAGCAACTGAGCTGTTGTAGGCAAGAGGAGCAAGGTATCCAGAAAGTACACACTACTGAATCTGGCACTGACTGTTCTCAAAGTGGCCATTACTATTACGATGACAGCAGTTAAGCTTGTAAACATGATGGAAGGGAGGAAGCAAGCAGGAGCATCACAGTAGGATGATAAGCACAAAGAGATAAAGTACCTTTCCCACTGGAAGGTAGGATTACTACTAATAAATGGAAACCAAACCTGTGCTGCTGCCTCAGGGATAAATCTAACCCTCTTCCAAGACATGAGCTAATCACTGGAAGCCACATAATCAGACTCTGAAGCAATTAAGTCAGATAATGGCGGAACAAGACCTCAAGGAAAGAAATCTGTCAGAGAAGCAAGCACAGTGAAAGAAACACCTGAGGAGCAAGCATTACTATTCTCTACAGCAGAAGGTAGGTTTGACAAATCCCATCCTGGACAGGACTCCTGACAGTTCCTGATGAATATGGCCAGTGAAATTTCAGTTCTTATCTTGGGGGTAGTGATCAAAATGAGCTGACCTCTTCCAATGGGAGGTGGGACAATGAGTGGTGCAGGTAAGTCACATAGCTTCTTAAATTGTATACCTGCTCTATGGCTGTCAGGATGAAGAGCATCCTAAGGCCTGGAGGATGCACCTGTAATCAGTGGCCATGGGGGATGGTGGTATAAGGTTGAACCAGAAGATCTGGGAAGCTGCTGGAAAAGAGATCTACTCTTAGCCATAGGGCTAGGCACAAGGTTTCTACAAAGTCTGAAAATTCCAGCTGTGGGACTCAGAGAATGTTTTTGCTTGTATAGCAAGGCCATTTCTTTGAGGAAATTTTGACTAGAAAGAAGTAAGGGCCTTCTTTTACCTAGCACTTCTGTACTTATTGATTCCTAATTAAACATTTGTTAGCTACAACCAATTAATAAAGTTACCATATTTTTAACCCAAATCTGTATATGATTCTTTCTAGCCAACTGCAAAATTTCCTTCTACCCTTTCAAAACCAAAAAAAACCTCAGTGAAGAGGAGCTGGGGGGAAATTCATTTCTAACTGTGGCTGCTAAGGACCATGTACAAAAAGCAATTGATAAAGACAAGAAATATTGTATCCAGTGGAAGCATACACAAAGCTATTTATTCCCAATGCCAAGAAAAATCTCCTTGTGCTTAATTATCTGTGGGGTTCAGTCCTGGACCCAGTGCTCTTCAAAAAATTTTATTAATGATTTAGATGAGGAAGTACAAGGAACAATAATCAAATTTGCAGAGAATGCAAAACTGAGTGGAATAGTTTCCTGGAAGACAGGATGCAGATTCAGGGCAACCCTGATAAACTTGAATGCTGGGCTGAAAGCAACAGAGATTCAGTAAGGACAAGTGCCAAGTCTTCCACCTAGGAGAAAGAAACCAAATGACTCAATACAAGATGGGGAATTCTTGGCTCAAGAGAATTGAAAACAAAAAAAAGATCGGAATAATTGTAGACAACAGGCTAAATATGAGCCAACAATGTGGTACAGCTGCCAAATGGTAAATCCTATTTTGGGATACATTAATAGAAGTATTACTTCCAAATCACGAGTAGTAGTAGTACCCCTATACTTCTCCCTAGTCAGACCTCATCTGGAATACTTTGTTCAAGTTCTGGGCACCATGTTTTAAGAAAGATGCAGAAAAATTAGAAAGGGTCCAGAGCAGGACAACAAAAATGACCCAGGCTTTGGAAACATTGTGCTATGAGGAGAGATTGAGAGAACTGGGCATGTTCAGCCTGGAGAAGAGAAGGCTGAGCAGGGCCATGATATCCCTCTTTAAGTACCTCAAAGGCTGTCACAGAGAGGAAGGTCAAGATCTCTTCTCGCTGATTCCAGAGTGTAAGACACAGAATGGTCATGACAAGTTGTGACAACCCAGGTTCAAGCTAGATATCAGGAAAAGTTTCCTCACTATCAGAGCAATACAACAGTGGAACCAGTTTCCTAGAGAAGTCATGGGCTCTTCCACACTGGAGACATTCAAAAAGAAACTAGACAGCCATCTGAGTGGGATGGTGTAAAATGGTGTCCTGCAACAGCAGGGGGTTGGACCCAATGACCTTCATGGCCCCTTCCAACTCTACTATTCTATGATCCTATAATATCTATTGCTCACTTCACGTTTTGGAGGGGCTGTCTTGCATATGCAGTGCTTCTCCATAATTTAGGCAACCTCCCATATTCAAGCCCTACAAACTGCCTTGCTGTGTCTTGTCTGTCACTTGTAATACTTCATGTTCCACCCACTGCAAAGAACAGAGTTTTTACATTGTTCTGTTTTATATGGGAAAAGCTTACTAACTACTATCTTTTAAATCTCCTTACTAGAATATTTGGAAAAGACTTGTTACCATAACAGCTTGTTAGAACTGTGCTGGCTACTGAAAATCCCTTAAATGCAAAGCCTTCTCATGTAAGATTATTTATCACTTTTATGAGCTTTTCTACATGAAGCTGTTAATTGGCTGTATCTGTTTTCAGGCTCCTCATATAACTGAGATCCCAGCACAACAGGAGAAGGGTGTTGACAAGATGAAAAGGATTATAGGGAATAAAGTACATGAAATTAAATGAATGAAATCCTCTTATTTTATTATTAAATTCAGTCCCTCCCTTTGTCCTCTCCCACTTCTTTTGCTCATCATGTGTTCAAAGATAATCCTATTTTCTTGTGCATTACGGTTGTTCACTCTGAACCTTAGATCTTCCCCCAAGTGCTTCCACATTCTTTCTTATTTCTGTTTGAAGAGATGTCTGCCCCATGAGACTCCCACTTGTCCGTTCAGCTGGCATGGAGTTTCTCCATACTGCTAGAACTGGCAGTCTAAATCTATGGTAGTAGCAGTAGGAAAAATGACAAAATGCTAAGAATACAAAATTACACTGCAGCTATGGTTAAGATTTCAATTTGCACCAGCACTGATTAAATTAGCATAAAAGGTCTTCACCCACTGGACAGTATAGAAATATAATAAAAGCAATAAATAATATAAGCAACTTCTAGCACAATGGCTATAGCAGTAGCTGGCATATCAGGTTTTCCAGGACTATGCACTGCAGCAGAGAACACTACTGGCATTGCACTAAAGATTACTCTTCAGCCTTAATCCCCACCTCCCAGTCTTAATAATGGACTATTTTCTTACTGCAGCCATCTTCATCACTATGGTCTCCACAGTCATTGTCACCATCACACTGCCATTGAGCAGGGATACAGGTGCATTCACCAAAGGCACTGACCGCACACGTGAAGTGGTTGCGCCCACAGGAACATTCCATGCTGCTGCTGCGAGCTGCACCTGCTGGAAGGAAAGAATCAGTGTGCTTTAGAGATAAGGAAGGAATACATTCATAAAAAGCAAAATAATGCTGTATCTTTCCATATATACCACAGTAATCCAATAACCATATAATAGTGGCAATTCCTGAGTTATTCAACCCAGGGATTTGGGGGTTCAACAGAGAACCCAAGCCACACACATTTGTTTCTAGTTTTAATTAACACCAACAGTGACATGACATGTGAACCTAAAAACTCTGGATTGTTTATGGGTTGAAAAAGCCTAGTTACCTGTCAACCAGCAACAATTCTGGGTCTGCACATCACAAAACAGCACAGGAATAAAGTCTTACAGGTTGTTAATCAAAAGTCAAGATGAGTATGCCTACAATCCCTTTGCTGAAATATCCAGGAATTGCTTCTGTCACATGCAAATTAAGTCACTATTGCATACATATACCGTATTGCTTAGATTCCCAAGATGTAAGTGACTGGAAGCAACAACTAATGATTTAGTCTTACTGGCCATTTCCAGAGAGTAGGTTAACTATAAGATATTCCACAGAACCATAAGTGAAGAAATCACATCCATAAACTCACAGTGTAAATGCCATTTTTCCATTTCACAATGCAGTCGCTCCCTACCAGGCATGTCATTCATTCATTCATTCATTCATTCATTCATTATCTGCATATGCTCTAAAGTAGCAAGCTCCTTATTTTATCATGATAAATGACAGTCTAGCTGAAAGATACCAGTATTGTTTCCCCCTGAAAATACATGGTTATATGAAGGGACAGTAAAAATGAGAAAGTCAATACAGACAGACTGAATGAAATCAAATTCTGTGCAAGCAAGCTCAACCTCCAAAAATAGTGTGTGTGTGACAGATTACTCAAGTGTTTCATAGAGCCAGGACGGGAGCTGTGCCTCTGAATATGACCCTCTCATGTTCCACCCCGGTCAGCTGAGGAGATCCGGAAACATGCCGGAAGTCAAGGCACCTGCCCACTGGGCAAGCAAACCAGCAATTAAAGATATAAAATACACTCTTCTCATTACTGTGTTTGGTGTTATTTGTGCTGCTGCAGACTCTAGGTCAGGAATAGCCACAGAACCTTTCCTCAGAGGATGAAATGTTTCACTAACAACTTTCATGTTGTCAAAGCACCTGGAAATTTACTTAATTTTTGTTTCAGAATAATTTCATCCTCATTAGAGCACTAGAAGGCAGACATCCACATCTATTTTGTTTTTTCATTTAGAACCCTGAAGCCTACCAGATGTAAAATAGTGGCTCAGGTGGATGGATACATGCTATGATTTAATGAACAGCATTTCTCCAAACACATGCTCAGTCCAGGAATTTTGTGATCAGTACCAGAACCAAGCTCACAAGTTTAGTTATATAAAAAACTACTCCTGGTTTTGCCCCAAACATTCGTTTTAGGCAACTTAATTTAGGGGTTTTTTTTAAAGTTGTTGCTGCTGTTGACAATTGGAAGCCAGAAATCTTGCTGACCCCTGCAAATCAGCCAGAAATCTACCAGCAGACATCAATCTACCTTTTCCCCATTTCTGTCTCAGAAGTAAAGAAAGAAAATGATTCAGCACCATTCCCACTCTTGTTTTATTGCAAGCTCTCTCCTCTCCTCTCCAATGGTTGATTGAATGCAGTTGTACAGCTAGATATTCACTGGGCTATCTTCCCTAATCTAAAAAATGCTTAACAGCTGAGAATGACTGAATTTCCATGTATAGGTTAGTTAGGAAGATGTTCCTCTCTAATCTGAACTTATGTAGCAAATGGATGCAGTTTCTTTGCTTGTCTCTTGAAGAACTGATCCTCAAGTAGCGACTTCCCATTGAGGAAAGTACAGTTAATCCAGTCTTAATAGAGGGATTTGGTGACCCATTGTTTATATGAAGAACTCTTCTGACAGAAACTGGGATGGCCACATTGCACTCATATGTTCTGATGACAGAAGAAACATCACCCTGTGATATACAGCCCACCAAGCTGAGTTAATAGCAGAAGAGGCAGAACTAATTTCAACTGTGGGTCCTTTTGGCCTTCCAAGCATCTGACACCTGACCAGAATACAAGCAATTTAAAAGTTACATAATGTGCTGTTTGTAGGCTGAAGCCTCAACTGCACTTGGTTCAATATTGTGTTCCATAGGCACATCCTTGAGAGGAGACCAGCTTAATCTTCCTTTCCCTCTCATAAGGTTTTGTTAAGTCTCATTCATAAGACAATCTAGCCAATATTGTATGTAAAGCACTGTACTGTGTGAAAAAGGGTAACATGGTTTAAACCATCATTTTTAAATATAAAGCATACCAGGAAATATTAAAGAAGACTATATGCCTGGTTTATCTCCCCACTTCTGAGCCAGTGGTGTTCAACATCAACCTTCCTCCCAATTTGGATGATGTTCAATTGATAATTACTTGCAATAAAATATTAATATTATACATGCACCCATCAAAAATGAAAAGTATAACACCACTTTAACTCATAGAGACAATTGCGACTGAAAATGAATTTCCTCCCTCCTTGAAGCAAGGACCAACTGTAGCTCTCAACACACTCATCTTTAGTGAATCTGACACATAAAATATTCTTACATTCAGACTTTTTCATTTTAGACTTAAAAGGGAACTTGTCAGGTAAATTCAGTTGGCTTGATTTATACAAATGAGAAAAAAGGGAGTCTTTACAGGTCAGATAAGGTTTATGACTCAGGTAAGCATAAATGGCAGCAATTCCATATACTATAAAGATCAACCGGAACCTGAGGAAAGTACTTTTCCATGATAAAAGAATGGAGTGCAGAAAGCTATAAATCTCAATGTAGAAAAACTAAAGAGTGAAGAGAAAGGCAGAAGGAAGTGCTTCTAAAACATTGCCTTGACAGCAAATAATAGAAATAAAAATGCCTTAACTTTTCCAGCACCCCACTGACAGCTGCTGTCAGTTTCAGCAAAGTCAGAACTAGTGACTAAATCACACTTCCTCAACCAGGTGCCCTCCAGATGTGTTGGACTACAACATGCTCTCTGGGAATGATGGCAGATATAATCCAATACATCTAGAGGGCACCAGTCAAGCCAGGTTATGCTAAATATACAATTGATTTGATAAAGCAGCAATTGCCTGAAATGCATACTATTATGCTAGTAACAGGATAAGGAAACTTCTGGATTTCACCTGGATGGGAAGTTTTTCCTGAAAGCAGCCAGGATATAGAAAAGGATGAAAAACTAAAGACTTTAATAGATAAATATAAAGTTTGCAGATCCTTGGGGGGAAAACATGATTACAGAATGACATTCCAGAAAGACCTTGGACAAAAATAGGTGCAGCGAGCAAGGAATATATGTTCATTATAAATTACTTTTCAGATTTTGGAAAGACAGATTACTTATTAGATATCTCTGCCATAACAGTCATAAATAAGATAAAAACACTTGACATGCTATGGGACACCAGACACAGTGCACTTAGATAATGCACCCCAGCTTCCTGAAACAAGAATTTAGCAAGGAGTAGGACTCTGAACACATGGCTTCATCCCCTGCATACTGGCAAAGTAGACTCCATATGGTTTTGTTTGTTTTTTTAAGTCAAGAAACTTCTGAGTAAAGCAAAAGCAGCAGGGATAGGTCTATATGCATTCTAGATCATCAGAACTCTCCACCCTAACACCTTAACTCAAGTCTAGAACTATGGTTAATGACTCAAAGAACACAGGCACTTGTACCAACTAGGGGGAGGCTATGAGAGATTACAGAGATTATGTAATCAGAGATTATGGAGCATCCCTTGGAGAACTGGGCAATAGCAGCAACAAAGACATCTCTTCCATTACAACCAATCAGCAGTGAAACTTCCAGACCCATAGCCAAAGGACACAGTGAAAGTTCAACCACTAACAAAACAAAGTAGAATCTTGTGCAAGGCAACTATAATTCAACAGGATAATTTATGAAAAAGTACAGATGGATAATAGAGATATACTGAGGCATAGCAAGACTTTCTAGAAACAACAGAAGAATCAGATAATGCCATGAATTCAAATGAGGGACAAGCATGTAACTAGCAAAGAATCCTTGTGGGATGAAACAAGCCATGTGCTAACCAGTACAGTGACATAACTGAGGCCAGACTAGGGGAGAAAATTGCATAAGTAAGGTCTGTAGTAAGCAACCCACCCTGTAAGTTAAACAGTGTAGAACAACCCACTGTGTGCCCAACAGGTATTCAGGCTTTCTGAAGGTTTTTCTCCCTGTCGTTCCCCACCCCATATTCCTCACAGTTGGGTTCTGAGTGGCAAAACTGTCCTACAGATATGAAATCTGCATATATTTTCCTGCCCCAACATATGCTAACATTTGCCAGATAGGTTTAAAAAATGAACTGTCAAAAAAGCTGTCAAAAGTATGCACTAGCAAAAGGGGGGAATATTGATCTCCCTTTTGGAATATCTGGAAGGTCAAGGAAGTGGAAGGTACAGAGTTTAGTCAGGGCAATACTGAAAAACTAAAAAATCATATTGCTAAGAGGGAGATATACTTGACACCCTCTTTCAGGACAAAATCTCTTTTTCCACTTTGCTTTTCAATTGATAGCTCTCAGTTATGCACAAAGTAACCTACGTCTAGCCTCAATGGGCCAATATCCATGGATGTCACCTAGTGCACTTTTGCATAGCAGGCACTTACCGGGGTATTGGCCAGGAAAGATTTCACATTTCAGATAGCCACAGAAGCACAATTGTACAGGACCAGGATAAGAGAGATTAATATACAAATACACTATGAACTATGCATATTTCTGCTGCCCCATTTTTTTCTTTTTAAAAGAGCAATGAACCAGTGACATTTGTTTCTAAGTGCTGCTTAGAGCAGCTGTCACAGTGGTACAAGTGAGGTCACCATGAGCACCAAGGGTTTTTTAGCCATTCTTCTCAAAAGGCTTGCTCACTAGTTTCCGCAAGCCCCACTGGAAATGTCC